GTTGATTTATACTTATATTCATTTACTGATTTAAAAGAAATAGTTAATGGAGTTCACTTTGATCTGACACAGTGCAGCAGGATAGTGTTATGTTGCTGAGTGTATTTATTTGGCCCAGGTCTAGCAATCAGATAATTACTGAAATCAGCTTTTTCTGATATTAATGATACACTTTTGAGTTTTTTTTTCCAATTAGATGATTATGCTGGTCTGTTCTTCTGGTACTAGTAGCAAAGGCTTGAATTTTGAACAATTCATAGCTACACTAGGTGGTGATGTCCACCTTTTACTTGCAAGGCGAAAGGAAGAAGTCTAGCCATTCACTCACAATAGCACAAACCAGTGGGACAGTTATCAGAGTTAGCTAACTATTTTCCGTGTTGAAATTATGAAAAGTGTAAAAGTTTGAGGAAAATGTTTTTAAAACTGGTTTTGGCACATAAATGCATTCTGCCTGGCACTAATATTTACTTACTTATTTACTTTTCTTGACTCGCAGCGAGCTTCCAGCTCCTCCCATGATGGTCGTCTGAGTGATCACCCACTCACCACCCATGCACAGCCAGGCCGTGCGTCATTTGAGCCCCCACCCCCAACCACAGTGGCTGCTGTTCCCCCATACCTGGGTCCAGACACCCCAGCCCTGCGCACTCTCAGCGAGTATGCCCGGCCACACGTCATGTCACCCAGCAACCGCAACCACCCCTTCTTTGTGCCCCTGGGGCCGGGCGATCACCTGCTGGCTTATCACATGCAGAGCCTCTATGCAGCTGATCCTGCTCTCCGCGAGCGAGAGCTGCGGGAACTCAGAGAGAGAGAGATCCGAGAGAGAATGAAGCCAGGCTTTGAGGTGAAACCACCAGAGCTGGAGACTCTTCACCCTTCAGCCAATCCCATGGAGCATTTCGCCCGACACGGAGCCCTGGCGCTTCCTCATGTCGCTGGACCGCACCCTTTTGCCCCCTTCCATCCAGCCATGGAGAGAAGCATGGTGGCGCCACCACGGCCAGAGATAACGTACGCAGAGCGGCTAACGGCAGAACGACTCCATGCCGAGAGGATGGCTGCGACCGTTGTCGCTGGCGACCCGGTTGCCAGGCTACAAATGCTCAATGTAACGCCACATCATCACCAGCACTCGCACATTCACTCCCACCTCCATTTGCACCAACAGGACCCACTGAACCAGGGTGAGAATCTTAACTCTGATTTACAGTATCATAACCCGAGCATCTGATAGAACTAAACCTAAAAGGAAATCACGTGGCGGTATTAAGTGTCAGATTACAGATAACTTTGTTTTAACCCTTTGAAGTCTACAGTTATTACTGTTGTGTTTGTTGTTGGCATGGCAGTAATGTATAAGAGATATTTTTTATTTTCACTAAAAAGACTATACCTTTTTATCAAATTCCACTTGAGATTCAGGTATCTTTTCCTATTTTCCAATTGTGGTTTTGATTGAAAGTTTAGAATCTACACATTCAACAGAATTTCTCAACATATTTCAGTGAGCTATGAATGAGAATTATATGATATCATACCTGCTTTCTTTATTGCCCGTGTTTACTGATACCTAAGCCTTAAGGAAAATTATGATTAAAGAACAGTGGAAGAGAAGTGGTTAAATTTGTGGGGTGATCTTTTCCTGTTTCAGGATCAGGGCCTCATCCTCTGGTGGACCCTCTGGCTGCAGGTCCACCTCTGGCACGATTCCCCTATCCACCAGGTGCTATTCCCAACCCTCTGCTGAGTGAGTTGCCTCATGAACATGACATGCTGCGGCACCCACTCTTTGGTGAGTCACATACACCATACAACCTTTAAAAAAAGGTTCCTCAATGATACATCAGTAAAAGAAGTATTAAAATGGTTGACAAAGTGTTGTATTCAGTTCTTCAAAGAACCTATTTAAAAAATAGTTCTGTACAGCACCAAAAGTGTTTAGTTGTTGTTACTAGTCAGAGAATTTTGGGTACTATGTAGGACCCTTTTTGTAATGAGTGTATAGGACTTGTACAGAGTAGTTGTAATAGACTCAACTAGTTGACTGTGTCCGCTCATCGGCCCTTTGGGCAATTGTTGACTATTTAAGGACAGAGTCTTTTTTCAGTAATATAATGGTGGTGGCAGAAGCAGCAGAAGCTTGCAGGAGGAGAGTCCAGAAACATAATTTCCTGCTAAATGTGAAGCCAAAGATAATAGATGGACCAGATCTGCTGTCATCTGCATGTTATCTTAGAGTAGGCTGAAAAAATGCCTGTGTTATAATCATCTTAAAATTAAGAATCCAGCACCATTTAATTAAATTATTGATATCTTTTGGATTAACTAGCTGAATTGTAAAAATGAATAGTTATACATCCTCTACAAAGCAAAGGATGTTTATATATGACTGTATAAAGTAAAAGCCTAGGCTATTTTTGCTTACCACTTGGCATTGTGTTATTAGGGGCAGCATTCCCTAGAGATATACCTGGACCCCTGGGGCCCATGTCAGCTGCACATCAGCTGCAGGCAATGCAGGCGCAGTCAGCAGAGCTGCAGAGACTGGCTCTGGAACAGCAGTGGCTGCACGGACACGCACACCTGCACAGTGCTCCACTTCCTAGCCAAGAGGACTACTACAGGTGAGCTGCAGTGACTTCAACTTGAATTTTAAACATACTAGTTTTATGTGAACTAGACATTTATAAATGTGTAGTTACCATTGTAAAACATAGAACAGCAGTGTTGCCGCTCTCCGTACCCAAGTATTCCTTTAAAACAGTGGCCTTTAACACAGCATGGGGAGGAACTGCTGGTATTTTAGCTAATATATACAGTTGGATGCAAACGTTTGTACACCCCTAGTCTTATTGCATGTTTTGTTCATTTTCTAAGTGAAAATAAGTTAACACATCATCTATAGTAAACGGATGTAAAGATGGCATTTTTCTGTCAAATTTACTGCACAATTTGTATATAATTATATATATATATATTATATATATATATATATACTGAAAAAAACATTAAATACAACATAACGTTTGCACAGGCCACAGTTATGTTTTATTTTATTACGTCAAATTCGGCAGAGGCATCCAAACTTTTGCACACAACTACATCCACTAAAACTTTTTGTTTTACTGTGTTCATTGCATTGTTCTCATACTCATGTTGTGGTGTTATGTGTTCAACAGCCGTCTGAAGAAAGAGGGAGATAAACAGTCTTGAAATGATTGACGAACACTGTGGACTATGGAGAAAATTCTGTATTCAGGGTATTAGCTCTGTTTTTTTTTCTTCAGAGATAACATTGTATGGGATCGGTTTTCCCCCTTTTTCTGCACTTGAGAGTTTGCCCTACTTTGTTGTATTGTATGAAATAACTAGCCTTTTCCAAGCACATTGACTTTGTTTTCCTTGCATGAATATTACTTAGCAGTTTTTACTGTTACAAAAGGAAATCTAATGTAACTTTGTTACAGTGCTAAAGCACTAGATTTATTTAGTATTTGCGAGGTGCTGTCCAATATCCTGAATACTCACAATATAGCAAAGAGTTTCAAAATTTATTGAAACCTACTCTCTATAAGATTGTAAATAGTATATGTATCAAATAATATATTACATGTGTAAATTAAAATGTTGCAATGGTAGATTTGGGCTTGAAAAGGTAAAATAACCTGTGTGCAGAAAGTGCATGCTTTACATACTGTATCATACCCTTTCTTTAACTTCCTCTTTTCAGGTATATCTTAGAGGGAACACTCTTATAAGTATATAACACAGTAGTAGTTAAGTCCTTAACTGGCCTATATGTCACCTGTATTCCACTGTCTTATCCCTTTTAACATTTGTTTATATAACATAGACAAAAGGAAGAGAGAGAATAGTTTTGGACTGTTTATTGCAATACAAGTGAAACTGTATTAATAGCAAATAACTAATTCATTGACACCTTGTCATATATCCCTGGATATAGTATTATGTCTAAGTAACAATATAAAGCTAACTGTGACAACAAAATGGAGTGTCATTCTTATTTGTGTACTCAATTGTACATCAGTTAGAGCTATTAACACAATTACTCAAAAACTACTGATGTTACAACTGTTTCTATACACAATTGCCAAAAGTATTTTCTACAATAAAGCACCAATACTGAGAGTAACGCTTTATCTAGTATATAGTATGTATGCTTTGATAAAGAATGAAGCTTATTTTAATAGAATGCATGTTTACATGTATACAATACCTTCATTATCAATACATTTGTACATGAATGTTCCATTGTTAATTTCCAAAATGAAAAATTTATTATGAAAAAGGCACGTTTCTGTGTTTGTGCCTTAACTGAAATTACACTGAATAATAATTGAATAGCAGTTATTAACACTATTTAACACTTCATACATGTCACTGCTAAATTCCACTGAGGGCTCCCTTGAAGCTTATGTTTTCTATATTTTCTTCAAAGTTCAAAAACTGCCTCCTTCAAACACAGTCAGTCTGTTAACATACAGCATAATAAGGCTAAACCTCTGTGAGAGTGACACTACTGACTGAGAATGAATGAGTATGACTCAAAAGGTCTGAAAAATATCTGTTTTCTCAAACTATTCTGAATAAAAACCTTCTAGTAATTCTATGTGACAACAATAGCTATCATCTTATCCTGACATACAGTTTATTAGACAAAAACTCAGAACCAACACACACCTAACACTGAAATCAGTTTCTTTTAGTTATGTTTAAAATGAAATCATTTTAACGATTTCACATGTTGCTTAAATGTTACTTGGCCTACCACAACACTTTATGTTCAGTACACAACTTACTTATGTTTAGCACATCATAAGTTCACAATATCACTGACACAAAACCTATCAGTGCCCTCTTCTGGTCCATATCAACCTGATATCTAAAGCAGTATCTTTCAACTGAACAAATGTTAATGTAAAAATTACAGTAAATAGTAAAAAGTAATGTATTTCTTTTTGTATCCTGGATTTCTCAAACTACACTTCTGTTCAAAAGTTTGGAATCATATACTACTCCTACTACTACAACTACCACCACCACCACTACTACTACTACTACTACTACTACTACTAATAATAATAATAATATTAAAAATAACATAAAACTATATATTCATGGGTTTGTGTGTTTCAGCTTATTTGTATGAAGCTGTAAAAATGGGGAAACTCTAGAAATATCCAGAATGATAAACAGAGTTGTAAGTATTTTCCATAATGATAGACAAACCTGCAGAACATTGAGTTATAATAAAATTAATATGCAGAATGCCTCATATCTGAAGAGTAATGATCAAATCTCAAGGCAGATAGGTTATCAGAGAATGACTACAGATGGATAATTACAGTATATTAATTATCATATTATAACTTCCTGGTGTTCCCAAAAATCTTACATTTTAAAGAAAATAAATAAAGTATTAAATAATCAAATAATTATTAAATAAACATCTTAAATATATCCTTTGGTGTCCAGCCTTTTGTATTTCGATCTGAACTCTGTAAGTGAAATTTGAATAAAACAACAGCAATTATTAATATGACAGGTGATTCCAAACTTCTGAATGATAGTGTATATTAAACAAAACGTAACTGGACTGTATAATTATGTAATTATGTTGGGATTATGTTGTAATACTATGTGAATAATGTATATCTACTTGTTCGTTACAATGAATTTGTGCAAAATTAACCCTTAATTGTACATTGGCCCCCTTCTGAGAAATTCTTGGAAAGCTGTAAGAGTAGACATCATGAATCATCCTCAGTTGCATCCTTTTTCACATATTTTCGCAAGTACTGGATGGCAGATATTGCACTCACATTTGCTAGCAGAGCTGAGAAATATTTGAGAGGGAAAATAATACATGTTAATTTATGCAATTTCTAGTTATGATGTATAATGAAATGATCACCCTATCAGTATGGCCATATGATATTGTTTGTGATGCATTGACATACCTGCTTTCCACATGTCTGTAGATTGTGGATTGTATGATTTAAGGAACCAGGAAGCAAAGGCAATACACACAAGGCACATATCTGACTGCTTTATGGAGAAGTGGAGACACTCTCTTTCTGTAAAAGAAAGATTGTAATATTGGTCTGGAGCTTTTTTCCTCTATATTTTCTCATTGCGAGTCTATAGCACAGCAACATGCCTGCAACTTCCCAAAAAATTGATTTTAAAAGCTATTCATCTGGACCAAATTTTCCCAAAGCATCTTAATGTTAGATTGTGGGCATCGAGGAAACATCTGGAGCCAAATTTTGTTCCTCAAATTAGTTCAAAAGTCATCAACAACCTCTTTGAAAACAAAGAAATTCTTGTCACTTTTACTGTGTTCATGTTTTTTGCATTTATTTTAATGATATATGATATTTTTTAAGCACAAACACATTTATTGCCAAGATACACAATATTGTATATTTAATGTCTGAAACAACATCTGAATCATTCTAAAACTAATTAGATAGATGGGCACTGTCAATAGATTTATGAGGGTGTTTGCTTACTCGAGATTGATGCAGTATATTGAACGTGGGTCCTGCTGTACTACAAACGGTTCCAGGGCCTTGTTCCCCATGTTGAACAGATGTGGCATTGGCTGGGCTCTTGAGACGTATGATGTTACCTTTGTTGCTTCTATTTGGAAAATCCATGAGCTGACTTTTTGGCACCATGTACTACCTATCTCTGTAAATCTGATTCTTCTCAGGGAGAGAAAGCTACTCCAGTTTCTTCTCTGGTCTCTGAAAAAGTAAAAGTTGGTTGTTCCCGAGGGACTTTTAGACCTTTTTGGCTGATTGCTAAAGCGAGTCATGACCCGTATTGGGGAATTATCATCTTCAATATCCACCTCAATCAGCTCCTCCACCTCAGGGAATACCAGATCTCTCACCACTGAGCGTGAGGAAGAGAAGATGGGAACCGTAACTGTCTGATCTTGCACAGAAGGAAAGAGAAGATTCCCGACCACAAAGTCAGAGAAGAAGTCATCATACGTCTCAGGCACCGACAACTTCTTTGAGGAATAAAATGAGACAACAGAGCTGCATCTGTCTGGGGTCCTTGTCTGAAGTCCTTGTTCGTCAATGTCTTTGGCAAAAAGCTCAGAGAAACTAAACAGGCACTGATCATCTAGAGTACTGCCAACTGATAAAACCGGGGACGGTGTATTCCTGATGCCTTCAAGTTCGAAGGGATTTTCATTACTTGCTGCCTTAGATGTGAGATATAAGCCTTGTGCCTCTGTAGCTGGATACAGGTAAAGTGGCATTCCATCCTGAGGACACAGCATTATGATGTCCCCTGATTCACTTTCATTGTTCACTCCGGGTAGCTCTTGTTCTGGTAAGAGTTCTGATATGTAGTTGGACTCTAAAATACTGTTTGTCTGCTCTTTGACACTTTGAGGCTCAGGGCTAGGGTTTGCACTTGTGTTTATTATTTGTAGGAACTCATCATCAAAATCTGAGAGAGGTGAGAATTCACAGCTTGAGCGGTCTGGTTTAGAGTCATCCAAATGTGTGAAATAATCAGAGTCAGCAGTGTCATCTACCAAGCTACTCTCTTCAGGATTAACAGTTCTGCGCAGTGGAGATTTATTAGCTACTCTAAGATGTAAAATGTCATTTATTGTTAACTTTTCCATTTCGTCCCAAAAGGATGAAAGGGCATATATTGGATGAGATGGGCCTACAGCTGTTTCCAGGCTTATGCTCGGTGTCTCCTGTACAGAATAGATCTTTTCATTATCAGATTCTGTTGAACACTCTTGCTGTTGATGTAGCTCATCTGGAGGAGCATCTTCTTTTGGGTCATCATGAATATGACTCAAATAGTTGGTCGTCGGTTGAGTTTGAGTAGCGATATCTGTGTTGCTTTTGGGTTCGTTGGGCAAGCCCCTAACTGTGCTTTGGTCATTTGCAAGTTGTGTCATGAACTTATCTAGGACATTAGATTGTAATTGTGAATTATGCCTAAGAATTAATGAGGATTGAGAATTAAGAGAAGCAGAGGGATTGTTTTCTGGGGTTTCTGTAGGAGCATCTGCAGCACTTTTGCTTTTAAAGCTAAAGGCATGACTTTTGCCTTCAGCGAAAGGCGACTGTGCAGCTGAAGTACAGTTAGTTTTTAGTACAGAAGTCTTGTCAAAACCCTCCCCTCCTGGTTCTTTTACAGGTGAGAAATCTACCTGTTTGATATTGGCAGTATCTGAAATGACTTCCTTATTTACATTAGAGGGAAAGGTATTACTATCTAAAGATTCTGAACATTTTTGGAGAGATTGTTTGAATTCATTCTGTGCTTTTTGTAGCTTTTTTGTTTTTTCTCCCTCTGCTTCTTTCTCACTATTTGAATGAGGACGCTTCCCTCCCATTACACTGTTTCGATGGCCCGACTTCTTGGAGGTTTTTTTTTTTCTTCTTTTTTTTTGGCCCAATGTGCCAGAGTGTACTCTTTGCTGGACTGGACTGTCATTTACAGTGACAAACCAGCGTTCCTTCTCTTTTTTTGGAGTTGCTGAACTCTCCATCACCTTTGTTAGTGTTTCTCCTTCTGAGCTAGCAGCATGGGTGCTTGGGGAAGTAGTGACTGTGATTGGCTCTTCCATGACTTGACTTGACTTGTTTGTGCTCTGACTTTGATCATGTTCCTGGACATTTTTTGTGTCGGGACTGATGTCATTAACACCACTGTCTGGTGAGCTCAGACACACACATGTGGCTGTATTATCATTTAAACTGGTTTGTGCAGTCTGCTCTACGTCTGTCTTACGGCTTAAGCATTCAGAATCTTCTGATGGGTTTCCTTTGTCACAGTCACCCGTTGTGCTAAGTGTTTGTGCTACAGCATCATGTCCCTCATCGGGTTTTCCAGGGTTGGTCTGAAGAGGAAGAACAGGCTCTTGGGTGCACTTTTTTTCATCGTCAGTGTCACTGAGGCCTGAGTCATCCAGGCCTGCAAGCTGTGCCTGCTGAATAGAGCATTCCTCACTCTCCTCATAGAAGCTGTCCCAGTCTCGCTCTGCTATTAGAACACTGTGCTCTAAATCATCCATGACCGCTGAATTTACTCAGTGTGATCCAGCATCTGAAAAAAGTAAAATTCTGTTCATCGTTCATTTTTTTCATACAATTTACATTCTAGTCTGTGCAAGCAATGTCTGTGAGATGCTTGAGAAAGTAGCCAGACCAAACAGGAAAATGTATAGTTCTGGTGCAGAGGTTAGACTATTAGTAGCATGCTTAAAGGTCACTTATTTTTGAGTGCAGAAGCTTAATGAACTTTAACCACAGCACTATTTATTATATCATCATAAGCTGATTGAATGTTAGAATTATTAGGGGGTGAGTTCTGGTGAGGGTTGGTTTGTTTGTTTGTTTATTTATTTATTTATTTACTTACTTGCTTACTTACTTTCCTATGAGTTTTGTACATTTTTCAATGCAATCAGAATGTTACCTGCTTGCAGTTAATTATAGTGGATTGAAATTCATAGTACAGCTTATCGCTTCCTAATAATTCATATTTTAAGCATAGTAGCTGTTTGCATTTGGAACTGATGCTGTCCGGACTGTAAGCTGACTCCAGAGCATGCTGTACCCAGGGGAAATATGCACAAGAGTCTGGCAAGGGGTCAGTGTGGGCCATCCGACAAACTACACCAATAACAAATCCTCAAAATACACCAGTAGCTATATTGCTACAGGAAAACAAGTCATGCATCTAAAGACAAGTGCACCTCTCTTTGATCTCATATTGGTTTGAGCATGTAGGAAGTTTTTTTCAGGTTTAGAAATTTCAATTAGATGACATACGCAGGATGCAGTGGCCTCAAAACGGCTTGGACATTTGTGCCATACTTAAAAATGTAATAAGATCATTGTATTAGGAAACAAAGTGGTTTGCATTTTTACACAGACCTTTACGAGACTGTAGGTTTCTTTTTGCCAAAGTATTATTTTAAAAGGCAGCTGATGTGTTTCAGATCGTTATCGTTTGAGCAGCTTTTTCATTCAGAATGCTTTTGTACACTGTTTTGTTCTGTACAGTACCCTTAGTGCAGTCTGACGGGAATCTTCTCCAGGCTTTCTCCACACGTTTACCATCAGTTTGATGTCATGCTAAAACTGTTTTTCTCTGAAACAAATATCAATTTCTTGAACATTTTGAAGTTTACCAATGATTGAAGTGTTCAGATACATTTGGGCACATTATAAATAGGACAATATAAATAGCAAAAACAGTGAAAAGTTGCAGAAACAATTTTCAGCTGATTACATCACTGAGATATTTATTCCTGGTCTGCAAATATGTTTCCGTTACTGTGCCACACCCACTTCAGATCTTGTATGTATCCATGTGAACAACCCTAAATGATCTTTTTTAAGTAGCATCTGCCCTGCACTGTAACATTTTAAGTTATACTGTAATATCCACAGATGGGGCTATAGGGCAAGCCAAAAGATTTATATAAGGAAGCTTTCATATAACTATAGTCCAGCAACATAGTTAAAGCCCATGCTTTTGACATAGTGACGACAAATGATTTAATTACTTACACAGAACAGGTGCAGTGTTTACAATATGAATCAGTTTGAGCTTAACAGAAAGAAAACTATGGGTGTCTTTGGTAGACAGTGTGCATTGCGTTAAACACAATAGTTGTATAGTGATAACAGTGTTTTACTCTTGATCAACTTGGGCGTAGAGGTAGCGTACTTACATGTAGTTAAACATCAGTGAAATCATTTGCATCACTTCAGTTGGCTGTCTGTAGTTAAACTGCATTAGATGTTAATAAATCCAGCAGGCTTACATAGGTAGAACAGCACCTTTAGATTACACAGCACAAATGCACTCATTTCTGTCTACAAAACCAGAAAATCCTCAAATCCAGCACACTACAATGTAGACCCTATGGTTGTCGAGGTTGTAAACGGTTTCACTCATGTTCGTCTTACCTTTAGTTGTAAATTATACTTCCCAAATGCTTAAGCACTGGCTCAGGGTTGGCATGGCGCTGTCCCCAGCGTTCCCACTGCCCTTGCGTGTGGGATTGGGGGGCCTCTGTCTTGCTCTGTTATAAATAGAGCCATGTGTCTGGTCACATGAAGGGCTGCGTGTGTGCTGCCGTACCAAGAGAAGCATTCTGTTACACACCTTTAAATAGCACTTGTTAGTAGAAACAGGACGGATCTGTCATTGATCACCTATTATTCACCAATATTCAAGGCTCTATATTCAGTTCAATTGGCTAATTAGTGCCAACTGCATCTGACCGCAATCTCCATCTGACAGTGTTACACTGTCACTGAATTAGCCTGTGAATCCTTGAGACCACAAATCTAACCTGATCCAGTTTGAGATGAGACTCACATTGTCAAGGACTGAATTTATCAGAAGGAACAAAAATAAGGTGGGACCTTTCTACTCAGACACAAAGTTTCCTCTGCATTTATTGGAATTTGCAGTTATGGCGGATAAGGACATGGAATGAATAATGTTATGAGACGTGTATGTAATATAGAAGACCTCCATCTTGCTATACTGCAGTCCATTCAGTGCTTACATAGCACAACATTTAGTACTGTATGTTGCCACCTGGGGGTATACTCCAGCTGTAGTCACTGACTTAACACACCAATAATACACACAGCATAGTTCTTTAATGGCTTCAATACCAGCACAGAAGCAGATGAAATGTCTTCATCTGTTAAATAAATAACAGAGCTTAATTGGCTTAGATTTATATCATTATTTTTCATCTGGGGAATTCCAAGTAGTATTTTGGCAAAACATTACCTGAAAAATACTTACCAGCACACTCAAATACCAGTAATTCAAATGTCTGATTTTCACTGTATTGTACAGACGTTTCTCATTTACTTAAGATCAAAAGAATGAATAGTTTCTGTTATGTACATTCAGATTTTTTCAGATCTTTCCAAGGCTCACAATTGATATTAAGCATTGTATTCTAGTGGCAGTATGTGCATTTCCATGTGGGAAATTGTCTACAAGTCATTCTGGTGTTATAAATTCCAGACACAATCCCAAAACCACCTGACCAGTGCAGTCATCTTTGTTCCAGGAAGGCTACTGCAAATGCACTGTGGGGGCTCCAAAGTTCATTTCCTGTTAGCTACAACAGTGATTACAGTCTATAGTGTGGGGAATAACTGCCTAGTAGGGCTGGGCGATTTGAGGGAAATATCGAATTGCTATTTATATTAAGCTCCTGGCGTTTCTTTGGGCCTAGTAGACCAGCACACTTTTTTGGGCTTTAGACCTGAACGCTGAATGTAGTGTGCCAGTCTGCGAGTTCATGAGGTCTGCATTGCTGTGTTAAATTTCTCAACTTGTTAAGATGAATATAAATAACATTAAAATCTGAGCTCTTGAGCATTCTTTTTTTATCTTTTCAATATAAAAATGATTAGTTATTCAGTCCTACTGCCTAGATGCACAATATGTCCAGACACCCCTTCTAATTATTGAACTCAGCTACTTTAAGGTGCACCCACTTCTGAGGTGGTTAGTAGTGCACACCCAGCTTGTATAATCTTCATAGAAATGCACTGTCAGTAGAATGATACATTCTGGAGCAGCCACATATGGGGGTCACCTTGCCCAATGCCAAGCATCAGCTAGTGTGGTATAAAGCTCCCCAGCATTGGGCTGTGGAGCAACGGAGTGACTGAGCACCTGTGGGATGAGTTGGAATGGTGTTTGTCCAGAGCTAATCATCCAACATCTGCACCTGACCTCATTAATGTTTATGTGGCCGAATGCAATTAAATCTTCACAGCAATGTTCCAACATCTATTGCAAAGCCTTCCCAGAACAGTAGAGGCTGTTACTGCAACAAAGGGGGGCAAATTCCCAATTCATACCCTTGATCTTGATTTCTACAAACTTTTGGACACTGGTTGGCTGGTTTTATGGAAATGTATTAAGACTAAACTGGTGTTATGCTAAAAATGGAAAAGTTGAAACAAAACAATTACAAAAATGAGTCTGTTACATTTTTAGCAAGTGAATAACACTTTTTTGTGCATTTTCGTCATTTATTAAGAATGCATTAATAACACTTCTTCAGGCACTAGTAGTAGTAAGTTTGATATCACTTCAGACATCAGAATCACCACAATGTTTTAGGTGCCGGTTAGGTTTTAAGTGCAATTTTTCACTGAAAAAAAATGTTTTACTGTACATTATAACATAGTTACACTTACTGTACATATATTGCAGTCCAAACATCTGTATACAAATATACACAATCTGAACAATACAAAAGTGATTTCCAAAAAAAGAGATGATTTGCTGTGTATAAAACAGAGAATGTTTTTGTCTGTTCCTGAAAGAAGAGCTAGAGTAATATTGCTAGGAAAAAGCCCCTCTTTTCCATTGTAATTTGATTTTTTGACAGTGACAATTTGTTGGCTCAGTTGATTTTAGCAGCAATACACAGTGTCTCTTTACTTGACTTCTACTAAAACCTTCTTCAGTCAATATATTCACAAAAAAAACTTCATAGTAGGCACACCAGTCTGGTCAAGATCAGAGACATTAATATGGAAGAACCGGACTAAAATTCTTACTTGTGGCCAGGGTGCTCTCAGTGTAAATCCATGAATAAGTGTGCAATCAGATCACATGGCCAAACCCAAGATTAGTGTTGGGTCACCAGAAGAATTAAAGACACAAATTTCACAACTTCACCTACGAGTGGTGGTTGAAGTTGTAGGGAAGACATTCACGGACCCTGCTTGCTCCCTAAAGCAGCCTGGCATGAAACCATGGCTGAAGCTACACTGAATAGGCCAGAGGATTACAGCAAGCAGTATGAGGAGCACTATGATGAGGGTCAGCAGCCGCTTCCAATCGCCATAAAAGCCTAGAAAACGCAGAAGCCTGCTCCCACAACTCTCTCTTTCTTCTTGTCTGTTCTCGCTCTCTTGTTTAGTGCCTCCAATATAAATGCAAATGTAGCTGGGTGTTGTTGGATGTGAGTAGCAGAGCTTCTTTCCATCGAGCCACACATTTCTCTCTTGCTGTTGGTGGCTGGGGAGTTGGCCCAGCACCTCCTGGCTGGTGGTCAAAGCTGGTGGACCATTCTCAGGAATAGAAGTTGGCTGTCTGCAAAGCGGGCAGGTGATCTGGGTGCCCTCTTTCTCTGGTGAAACAGTGATGAAGCGGGACAGACACTCCAGACAGAAAGTATGGTTACAGTCCAGAATCTTAGGCGTTTTGAAGGTATTATCATATGAGTTGAAGCAAATGGAACATTCTGGACCAGCATCCCAGACTTGGTCTTCTGCATCACTAGTGGGTGCTGTCTTATGTCGGTGTGATGATGCATTGGAAGGTGTCCTTATTATTACTTCTGGTTCCTGCATCCTTCTGTCTCTTCAAGGATCCTAAAATAAGGAAGTTCAGTTAAACAGACAAGTTGCTTATAGGTAGCAAATTAAAGAAACATTTTATCTCAAGTAAGAAATTCTAAAATCTTACTAGACTTTATAGTATACTGTACACAGTATATAAGCCAAACTTTTCAAATGTATACAATGAGAAAAAAAATGTAGCTTAATTTATCAAAGAATTCCACATACAATAAGTAAAAATGTAACGGTTCAAATATGAAACTATCAATTTAAAGTTACATTTATTTTTGTCTGTATTATTTTTATTGTTATTATTATTATTATTATTATTAGTAGTAGTAGTAGTAGTAGTAGAAGTAGTGAGAGTAGTAGAATTTCTCTTCTTATTGTTATTCTTAAGTAAAACATAGAAGCTAAGAATTATGTTTTTATTACTTTTATTATATTATTTGTAACATTTTTCATATTATTTTTAACATGTAATAATTTCTTTTTTCTTATAGATCTTACTTGTGAAAACTTTTTTCAGTACTGTTATTTATTGTTCATTCCCAGCACAGTATCTTACCAAGATTAGGAGAGGCTGTATCCTGCTCTGTGTAAATCCCTGTGGAATCAATCAGTCCAGAAAGACTCTTCTATTCCAGTCCACACCAGACAAAGCAGGTATATTTCCTGAAAACGTCTGACTCCGTCTGAATCTCCAGAACCGTCTGCTGATCTCGGCCCCTCAGTTCACTACTTTGTTCCTGTACCTCAGCTCTTGTGTGCACAAGTGCAATGAACTGAACTATGAAGCTGTTATTCTGTCTGCTTCTCTGTTAATACAAAGTTATTTCCCTCCCTCTTCACTCTATGAAGTAGCAACCTTGTCCAGCCAAATAGGTGGGAACAAAGAGAAAGGGAAGAAGGAAAGCTTTTCAGAAACTGATAACACTCGCAATACAAACACGAGTGCGTGTGTGCGCGCATACACAGTATTCATATCCTGCAGAATAAGAGTGACGAAGCACTTACCTGTATTTTTATGAGTAAGATTTTCCATGGTTTTAAACTTTTGACCAAACCAAATGAGATGAAATAAAAGATTAAGAATATGAAACATGACTCACGTACACTCGCAAATCAGATATAAAACATGTTTTTATTACACATCTGTGTGTCTGTACTTAACCATAAACGGTTTATGGCCTAGATGTCTAGGAAAACCTTGAATTAGTACAGGACCTTTACATTATGTGAAGGTTCTTTATGCTCATGTCTTCATACACTTACATTTTTGACATCGCTTACGAAAATGGTTCTTCAAGGAATCAACTGTGGTTCTACTCTGGTATCACTCTAAAGAACTCTTTTTGGTGCCTTTGTGTTTAGGAGTCCATGTGGTGTTCTACACATTTTATGTTACTTCTAACACACATTTAACGCAATCCGACACTAAAAATGTGCTGTTATTTAACCGAATTACTGTTTCTTATTGCTAAATACAGTGGTTAGGTATGAATGTTTGTGCTAGGCCTTCAGTTTGGGCAATAAATGTCAAAATTTGTCAAAAAACACCTTTACTTTAATTCTAATTTCTGCTGGTGCTCCTATGTGATTTTGGTAGTATTTTAGCACCACGCTAACAATGATTCACCTGAGCATTTTGTGGCCATTCTGAATTGAATACTGACAAATAAAGCTTGTAAAATACATTTGGTGTTTTATTTGAACCTTCTAGCAGAATTTAGATTGTAGTATTTAATCTGATGTTAGGCCTTCAGTTCAGCTCCTGAAGTCCTGAACATTGGGAGAGCTTGTTTGACTGTATCTACCAACATACAACTCTATGAGAGTTCCCTACAGGCTGAATGTGAACAGTAACAGTTTACTGGAATTTGATGTTGTACAGTATATTTTTATCATACACAGCTGACAGTTTTACAGCTTATTTTGCTCTGTGGATCCTGTGATAAATAACACACATGCACATGGCACCCTTCTGGTAACTGTTTCTCTTGCTTCTACACCACTAACAGCACTCTACTGCCTTTCCTAGTGCTCTATATACTGATAACCCATCATGATAGCAGTATAAAAAACATATCAATTGAGGAAACAAGTGTACAATGCACACCCTAGCCAAAGACTTACAAGAACAACAGCTGCCTTTCTGCTAACAACCCAGCATTTTCTCTGAGAGATAAGTGGTCAAATATAAGGAAGGACTTGAGGAATGTTTATGTTTGCTTGTATGTTTTCCCGTAAGCTGGCAGGGAAGTTATTGACAGAGGAATAGGAGAGTAAATATTGCTGCTATCACAACAAAGCCTTTCAAATCCAAAATGGCAACTTTGCATATTTGTCACCTGCAATATGTAAGTAATGTTGGGCCATTTTGAAATTATGTAGATAAATTTAAATAGAATAAATTATATAAATACAGCATTTGAATATAGTAATATTGGAATGTTATTGATAATGCCATGATCTCAGTTTTATATGTCCTTTGGTTCATATTGCCTCTATCCAGAAAACATAAACAAACCCAAAGCAAAACATGTATGTCTATTTTTGTTGATTTTTACTTTTCTATACTGTGTGAACGTTGCAGCTGTCCTTTGTGTAAAAAACTCTTGACGAATGGACCAATAGAAATGCATCTTGTGTTTTTTTTTCTATGGCTTACTTGAACAGATTTATTTTATTTATTTATTTCATTTTTTGACATCAGCGATATGTTCTCTGAGCTTGTCTGACCATAGCTGTGAGAGTTTTTTAAAGCAATCAAACTACATGGCTAAAAAGTGAGATTTTATGGCTTATAATATTAAATTAAGTCTTTTGGTCACATGAGACTACTGATTATTAAAAAAAATTAAAATCCAAATGGATTCTGATTAAAAGTTACATACAATCAAAACAATCAAATAAGTACAATTAGATCTTGATGGTTAGATCCAATGTATAACTATAAAAATTCCCACCATTTTAGACCAATCAGAACAAGTTCTGTCATTTTTCCTCATCACTTTATATGCCAATGCAGTTTTTAGTAAACGTAGTATTGTCACTACACAGACACAAATGTTTTATCATATTTTGTCTCAGGCTCTGCATGGCTGTCTCACTTTTAAGGACATTTTACTTCAGAATCTGGTGCATAACAAACTTCACTTGTAAAGGCATAAACAAAGTGGATTGTGTTTAGTCTAACTGGGGCAACTGAAATATGGTCAACTTTTAAATGTTATGTTTTAAGCACAATATGTCCACATTTACAGTAACGGTCAATGCATGCGTTGTTCAGCAAGCTATGTTATCAAACAAAATTCATCTATTTCCTAGTTTATCTTACAACAGGCTCATTTGAGTAGATTCAGAACATTATTAAAGGCATGCTAGCAGTCTTTCCAGAAAGCATGCTCATAAATTAATTTGTGTATTTGAAAGGATATAAATGCTTTAAGGCTTTTATGGCATAAGTGTTTCGTCTTTATGACAGAAAGTAGTCTTTCTTTGAGCTGAACGTGAGCTCAAAGTCCCCCCCCCCTTTCTCTCACTCTATCTCTGTTTACTGAAGGCAGCCGCAGGCAATTGTGACGCATGTTTATGGTTTACGGTTTCCTCATAACTTGGGCAATTTAGTGAGTTAGTTCGAAAAAATTCTGGAGCCAGGGTACAAAACACTTTAGCTTCAGGACACAGACAGACAGTTCTCAGGAAGTCCAGCATTAGCTGAGTTTACTAAGAAAGCACAGTAAATGGACTGCAGTCCAGTATATATTCTTTCTAGTGTTCTACTATTCATTTATTTATTTTTTCCTGAGTTCAGTTTGATGCTTTAGTTGGTTTTATGTACAATGTACATTTTTGGTCTTTCTATTCCTAAAGTCATTTTAGTTACTGCACAGTTGTATGCAAAAGTTTGGGCACCCCTGGTCAAATTATGTTTTGTTGATTTTGTAGGTTGAAATAATTTAACAAATCCCCTTCAGGAAACAAATTTAAATATGGCATTTTCCAGCAAATTTAGTGGACAACCTCTATTTATTTTCTGAGTTTAACATATTGGAAAAAATAAAACAAAATTGTTGCATGTGTCACATTTTATGTTTTATTTTTTATGTTAAAGAGGCCATATCCTTCACATTTCTTACATACTCCTGCAGTCCACTTATAACACTACTGTGGTTTTATGTACCAGACTTCATTTTTACATAATTCATAATTCACAATGATGTATGTAAATGACATCAATTCTGATTGGCTGTGCTGTATTGTGCCTCATTCAGAAAGCAGGCTGAAACACTTCTTATAACTTCAGTATTTGTATTTTTCAGTATTTTTCAGTAGTGGCCATGGCTAATTCAAAACAGAATGACGAATTAAAAATAAGTTGCTTTTGCAGCTTACTTACCATATGTGGACTGTATGGATTGAGGAATGGACAGGATGGTGGTTTTGTTTACATACTTTTGTTTACATACTACATCAAACTCTTTGGGAAATTCAGTTTTCTATCACATGGGCTCATTAAATTCATTGAGTGTATGGTAAATGTGCATTAAAATTAGTAGATGTTTGTTCCCTGTAGAAAGTGTTCAAACATAATTTAAAAAACATAATTTAAAAAATCAACACAACATGTAATTTGACCCAGGGTGGACAAACCTTTGCATAAGACTGTATCTTTAAGGCTCTGTTATAATGAACTATTTAATGGGTGAAATGTGATACACCATGCTCCTCACTAGCAACATCAACTGAAACTCTCCACTAACTAGACAGCAGCAGCTACGATGTAATACCTCCTGTGTCTAATTTTGAGGCAGAGTATTGTTTCTGTCTAAAAAACAGTATCAGTTTTTTATGCATCATTTGAGCACAGCGGCTGTCCTTTATATTTTGTGAAAATTTCATTATGACTGAACCAATAGAAACACTCCAAAACTGAAATTGAAATAAAATCTTTTGTTACATCAAAAGTAAAGAAACTTTTTGCCTTCTGCTTAAGTGGGCCCTTCTGTCAAAACAGAGGTTTTCCTTCAAGCCCACCCAGCAGCCAACACCAGGAGTAGTGTGCTGTCGTTCTGCTAGGAGTATAGAGGAGAGTGGGGCACAACCTAACATGAGGTAAAATGTAACATGGACTTTTTATGTAGTGATACAAGTAGAAGACGCTTTTGATCATCTTTTCGTATTCCCATTTGACACACTGTCCAAATAAATAAATAAGTAAGTAAGTAAGTAAGTAAGTAAGTAAGTAAGTAAGTAAGTAAGTAAGTAAGTACCTCCCAAATTGTAACTTTACAGGAGAGGGCAAAACATTCTTTACTGTTAATGTTAATATACTTTTAAGTTAATGTAAAGAGATTTCATTTCCAATTATTTGGGAGGATTTCTATTGGTCCATCATCATGAAAGTTTCACACAATGAAAAGTGTGGCTAGTGAAATTGTTGTGCTCAAAAGGTGTAGAAAAATAAAAAACTGAAAACAATGGAGATACATGCAGGGAAATTCTGACTGCAATCAGACAGATATTTCATAAGATTCACCCTGAAGAACCAAACCATAAAAGTTACTTTTCTGGATTGTGTGTAGACACAAAATTCACACTTATATTATTTTAATCACTTTCTTGTTGGCAGTTATATAGAATCAACTAACAGTGCTAGCCTGACTAAAGTACAGCCTCAACATGGTGTTGGGATTAGTTTTAACGTGGTGTTATAACTACGCCTTCTGACGTAAACAATGAGAGAAGTTCATACATCCACATTCAGAACAGTTCAATTTGTGGACAGATTTCATGCACAAATTCATAAAACGTACTGATGTCATGTAAGTAAAATGTTCGATGTTTGTAAAATGTTCTGATATTTGACTTATTACTTTCTACAAATAGCCCCTCAGCCTATTACAGTTAACCACACCTATGAGGTAAGTTTACCTTTCAGTTCAGAGTT